TGTCTTTTTGAGAACTTTCTTCTGTTTCCATTTAAAATAATGAAGGGAAGACATCAGTGATAAATTGTTCTGAATTTGGGAAAGCTTTGCACTTTCTGAGCCAAATTCATGCCTCATAAAACCCATTGCATTCAATGGTTACAAGATGATTGTAGTTGAACCCTTGCGTTTGTTGCCAAACAAACACAAATGGTCTGAACAAGAAGGTGTAATTCAATTTGCCATGCAAATACTTGCAGACTATATCATTCGGTATCTTGGTTTATTTCCGTATCTCCCAATGTAAGATATTTTGCTATATAGGAAAAATTTTCTTGTCTGGTAATATCTGTAATAAAACCCAGATGCAGGGAGACATCTGAGGACCCACTGTGATCCACTCCACCTTTTGTTAGATTTATCAGGTCCTCCTTGGAATAATTTCTTTTTAACAAACATATGCATTTACCCAGACTTTGAGCCCATCTTCTCCTGTGCAATGGTAGTTTGGGAAGTAGGTTTTGTTGGGTAGCATACTTGCATCTGTATGTAACCAAGTATGAAAATAATTTACCATGCTCACATGAAAAGTGTTATTGATAGGAGATAAAGGGATACCTCCATTTAACTTGTTTTTCAAACATATTTGTTATGTCCAGTCTGAAGTTTTGAAGGGGTCTTCGGTGGTGTTTTGGGGTTTTGGTTGGGGTTTTTTCAGAATTCCTTTTTTTTTTGTGCTTTTGCGGGATCTACAAAGAACACTCAAGGTCCATAGACCAGGCTAGCAAGCTAGAGCGTTTCTCAAAAGAGTTAATTCCTTGGAAACTTTCAGATTCATTCTGTCTACTCTTCTTTGTAACGCTTTTGATACAAAAACAGTGAAATTTTGACCTGATGTTGTTTACTTTGACCCCAAGATTACTTGTCGATTCTATTTTATTTTCTTCTTGATACAGCTGTTCTTCCAGGGATTTTTCTCAAATGTTTAAAGATTTATGGGTAAGTTGAGAAAAATCTACTGAATTATTTGATTGCAAAATGAAGATCGCTTATCTGCATTACTCTGCCTTGTAGTGAATATATACATGCAGCACGTGCTAGCAGGGTAGTCAAGCTAATAGGGGAGTATGACAGCAGTCATGCCAGTGCCAAGTGTACGTATGGTGCTTTGTATTGGCATTGCTGTGTCAAGAAGATGCTATTTTCTCCTTTTTTTTTGCTTGCTCAGAGAAATCATAGGCATGTATCTGTAAGAAAAAGATTAGTGCTGTTGATCCATGATCAGCATGCATGTTGATGTATGATTCTGATGAGTAAGGCAAGTTGTGTAAGGAGGTAACTTTTACAAGATCAACTGATGTAGCTGGAAGAACAGACAAGCTTTTACGGGTGCATATAAGACTTTCTTCAAAATGGGAGCTGTAGATTTATTGCTACATAGAGATTTAGAAGGTATTCTCTGAAATTAATTAAGTAAAGTTAATTACTTGGTTCTGCAGAAGAAAAGTGGTTGCTTCCTTCAGAGAAGAAGGGAATGTTAGCAGGGAGAAATGACGAGGTCATTAGCCCTTCTGCCTCGAGAACCCATAATTTAAAGCTGGTGGCTGTGGTGAATGAGTCCTATTACACATTGATTAAAACCATACTATATTCCGCAGAATATATCTATTCTATGGATAGTCAGTATCGCATTTGTCTCGGATCGACACTGCTGCACTTATACCACCCATTCACTTGTTTTCTTTTTCATATAACCACCTATGTGTTTTTGCGTATTTACATTAGACACTGCTCAGACAAACTTTTAGACACCACAGTCTCTGTATGGGAGGTGTATTCATCTTTCACAGTAAAAGTGACCAAACATTTAGACAGGTCTCTCCAACCACGTTCAGTTACAAGTACCTTTTCGTATCTATGCAATGTATATATATATGTATTTAAATGCAGACTCTTATCATAAAAAACTTTTAAATACAGTTACTCATATTTCAGCTGACCATTGTATAGCAACAGCAGGACTACCACTGAAGAAGCAGTATTAATTTCATTCTAAAGCATTTTTTTGCCCCAAAGACTTGCAAAACTACAATTAGATTCACATTTGTTATGCTCAAATATAAAAAAAATCTGCAAAATCTCAAAAAACCTGAACGTGTTATTTCCAAGTTGAATTTGTTCTGGAATATGTTCCCAAATGTCTTTATCAGTTGGTAGAGATGGTTTGGGTTTGTATCAGAGATTTGTTAGGCATTTCATGTTTCTACTTCAGCATTGTAGTGATTGCCTTTTTTAGTGAAACACGTTGTCAAACTTAGCCGGCCATTAACAATATTCTGAACTTGAGGGTACATGAAGCAGACTTCATTCCATGCATTGATGAGGATGACCTAAACCTATCAGGGCAATTAATGAAGACTGGCTGCTTTAGAAGGTATTCCAGGGGTTTGGTCTGTTTACCCATTATTTTCCTAGAAAGCTCTACAGCTCTGGGCTGAGCACGAGAACACGATGTGGTTTATGAATCCAGCACTGTCCTGCCTTTCCACTTACCAAATGCTCTTACACCCTCTTGAGATAAGGCAGTGGCAGCTCTGCTGTGTGGGAAGCACAGTGCCTCTTGCTAAGTGGCAAGTTCAAATTAGATATGGCAGGAACTCAGATATAAGGGCATTTCTGAGTTGACTGGCAGGGTTTAATGGATCCCAAGTGAGAGGAATGATTGCTCTGCGAACAGCTTTGGGAGGGCTGCTAGTTAAGAACTTTCACACGCCTCATTTGGCCTGTTTCCAGCTTGAGGTAAGGGGGGAAGGGTACTTGGAGGAATGTGCTTCAAAAGGGGACTTGTCTCCGAGCAATCAAATTCGACCGTTGTATGAAAATCTTCCATCGTTACTTGCTGGATAGCTCTGCTTTCTCTTTGTCGGGGACGGTTTCTGTTCACAAAGAAAAGCCGGGGTGGTTGGCAAGTCGGATTTTTTTCAGACTGAAACCTGCACATCTGATGGATATTCAGTACACTGCGGTATCTGAAAAAGAACACAAGGCAGCTGCTACATTGATTGGACAGCTAGTTATTAGACATTGACTACTTAATTTTCACATTTTTATAAAACAGTATTTTTTTAAGATGTGATACTCCGTCACTCCACCCTCTGTGGGCAAACAGAATAGTAAGAAATATAGCAAAGACATCAGTTAAATTAGAAGCATCACTTTTTTTCACCTGCGCACTTTCAGATCATAATCTAGGTAACCCAAATTATAAGAAATTGGGGTAAATAGTGCAAATTCAGCAAACAGCCAAAGCTGATGGATATAATTGGCTAAATACAGTTGTGCTTGGTGATGGAAGTGAAATGTAACTGTGTTGATGCTACTAAAATATCCCTTCCTATTGCCCTGTATGCAAAAGAGCAGAGAATGCGGCCCTGCTGCAGTTTGCCGTCTTGATACATCATATTTTTATATGTGTACATATCTGTAAACAGATGTTGCCCCAAGGCTGCAATAGCAGTCGGGTTTTTAATAAAGCGTGTGAGCTCACTCTCTCTGCAGGTTTCTTGTCTGTCTCCTCTACCACAGCTGCCTGTCGCTGTGGCTTTTCGTAGCTGCTGCCACCCTGATGTTCTGGTGTAGGCTGCTGAGTGCAGCTACGCGCTGCAGGACAGGGAGCCTGACATTAGTTAGCTGCTTAGCCATGGCTCTCAGATCCTCTCACTCTACAGAAATTAATCCCTGTAGAACAGCGTTAGAAGCAAAATCAGTGAGCCCTGACAGCCTTACTAAAAGGCGTCGAAGCCAGAGTCTTTGTTGAAAGTAGTGCCAGCACCCTGTTCCTGTTGACTCAGAGATTATCTCACTCCTTATTCATTAGCAGGGCCAGAGGTGTCCTATTGAAAAGATATCCCCTGCCTCCTAACAAACAGCAGGTGCAGCCCCTGCCTGGGAACACGAAGACAAGTTGCCAGTATCGTGGCAAGGCTTTCCAGCTCTCCCAGCTGGTGCACATCAGTGCCTGTAGCTTCAGCACCTCATTTTATGCGTAGAGGTACAGAGCCCGATTCTTCCTTAATTTTTCATCAGCTGTAAACCTTAGAGTTTTGTATTACTGCAGTTTTGAATACATGCCCATGAACACCTAGAACAATATGAAACAGTATTCTTGTGGGAGGGCATAGTGAGGGATTCTCGGAATGTATTTATGCACTTGAGCTCTATATTTTTGTAAAACAAATGAAAAATGGCTCTTCAAATACTTTTTATGGGAACTGAATGACTCCAGTTTGGATTGCAATGAGGAACAAGGGTTTGATTCAGATTGGGTAAAGTATAATGAAATAAAATAGTACTTATTAAAGTCCTTTGGTTTTAGTTTTTTAGTCTATTGTATATAGAATCTGGCTTGCATAACAAATGAAAATCATTGCCTTTTCAAAACTATAGAAAACTGTATCTTAACTTTCTGGTTAAGGTATGTCTCTATCCAGTTTCTACAGTAGAGATACGTTCATCTTAGAAACAAACATCTTGGCATCATTTGAAACTATTCTCTTTAGAACATGTTTATTGCATACTTACGTTACAATGAAATGTTTGTTGGCAAAACAAGTTAAAATCTACATTGCTATTGCCTTAGTTGCGGGCAGACACCTTTTATCAGAAAAATTAATTTCCATTAAAGCAGGGAGTTGAAATAGTTGACTGAAGCACTGCTGGATAATCAGTACAGTTAATGCATTCTATTTAATACTGTTTCATTTTTCACCTATATCATTATTATCTCCTATATTAATAGATAGCTATCATCACCACATCCCCTTCCCCTAGTGTACTTGGTTTCTTTCTGCTTCGGCTGGATGGTTGCTGCGTTATGGGATAGGAGTACTCGGGGAGAGGGAGGGTGTTCAGGTTTCTTCCAGTATGAAGCTGAACAAGATCGTAACTTAGAGGTTGATCTTTGCCTTCGCCACTGCTTGGATCTCAGGCTGTTCCTCACTGTCTCTGTTCTCTTATTTCAGATAATTCAGCCCCTCTTAGAACTTGATCAGAATCGCAGCAAGTTGAAGTTGTACATTGGACATCTGACAGCCCTCTGCCATGACCGTGACCCCCTGATTCTGCGTGGACTCACCCCACCTGCTTCCTACCACCTGGATGATGACCGGGCAGCTTGGGAGAAAGAGCTGCAGAAGATGACCCAGGAGCAGGTGAGTTTGTGGTCTGAAGCCCTGAACAAGGGCCTGAACTGTTGATGTGGGTCTTACTGATGTGCCATACCAAAATGTTGGGAAACCATTCTGTAAGTGGTGAAAACAGATAGCAAAGATCCACTCTTCAGCTGACAGAAGGAGTCAATAATTTTTTGAATCATTGCCATTTAATACTTATTACGGAATTTCATCTGTTCTTTTATCTGTGCTTGAGGCCGTGCATCTACACACTTACGGGAAATCAAACTGCAAGATACCACTTTTGCCATGTTTTACCTGTTAACAAATTTTAGCTGCTTTTTATAACTTAATGTAGTCATAGGGATCTTAAATCTTTTTTTAATGACGTTAACCATTTATATTTTAATTGGCACATTTTTATGAGTCACTTTATGTAAATGAATACAATGTCTTTACCTTCTGTTACAGTATGTTCTGCCAGTAATTTTTTCTGCTTGCCACCTTACCTGGATACCTAAATCAAGGTTTGGACCCAGTGTGCTAGATGCAATACACCCATGCTTATGCACACAGAAACACGGTGATTTCAAAAGTCCAACAGTGTATTTCCAGGAGTTTTGGAATACAGAACTGAAAGGTTTAATAACAGCTTGTCTGATGAAGTCTCTACAGAGACTGTCAATCTAGCTATAATTTAGCTACTGAAATAATCTTCCTTTCTCCCAGCTCTGGTGATGTCTTGCCTTCCTTAATCCCTTCACTGGCAGTTTGTATCTCTTGTTTTCATACTATAATTCATCATTCCCCACAACCCTTTTTTCTCATTCCTCCCTATATCTCTTTTCAACTTTTTAATTTTACTCCTATATTACAGAATGCCTTTTTTTTTTTAGTTAAACTAATATAAGGAACTTGTACCAGAAATAAATGTGACTAATTTTGTCTTTTTGACCCTGCCTTTGGATTGTAAGGCCAATTCTTTCACTAAATTTTTCACTTTCATATGTCTACACTGAACTTTATCCAGTATGCACACAAAGTAGCGTAAGGCCTATATAGTTGAAAGTGGTTTTGTGGGACAGTGAACACTATCTTGAGCCCACACTGAACCCTTCAGCTCTGGTTTTCTTCTTTTGTCATGTTCAAGCTCATTTCCTTGCACTTTCAACTCAAGGCTGAATTTTGATCCAAAAATTGGAGAGAGCAGCTCAGCAGCCAAATTACAGGAAGCCAACAGCAGCATGTCTAACAATTCAGAAAGAAGAGCAGACCTCTGGAGATAAATATGCCTGTAACAGGGTCTAGATGGTACAGGACAGTTGATCTCCATCTTTGTACCTGTCTTCATACGTTTATTTGATTCAGCATGTGCTGTGTGCCTCACTTGGTATCTACATTTGCCTTTATAGGCCTGACGCATTCCTTTTCCCTGCAGAGTCTGCTGCTCCTATGCACCCAGAGTCAGCATTTTATTTAGCTCTTGGATTCTGTAGGATTAAAAGTTTTTCAGTATAATGCATGCCATCCTCATATATTAGAGGTACAGCTCCTATGTTATAGATCAAAACACAAGGCATACCATTTTGAACCACCTTGTCTGTCAGATTGGGATGAAGCATTGGATGACAAAACCTGTAGCACGTATGGGAGGCGTCTCTGAAAACAAAAGTAAAGTCTGGATATGGGCAAAGTTTGGATATCCCTGAAATAAATTGACTAGTCTGTTACAGCTATGATGGTCTTTGAATATAATCAGGGTCTGTGGGGATATCTTCTATTTGATCAAGAGAATGTAGGTAAAGAAAATAGAAGAGGCTTTCTTTGGCAAGTTCTTCTGAATAAACAGTCACCCCAAAACAGCATCTGCTTTTTCCAGTTCTGTGTATTGGTCTAATAGAAGATAATATTTCTCATTCAAACTTTGCTAGTCCATTAGCAACATTTATGGGTTACACAGTAAAGAAAGCATTTAAGTATAAATTGTGAGAAAAAGAATTATCTAAGTTGTCCCGGAGAAGAGGAAAAAATGTGGTTTTCTATCCTCTCCCATTATTGTCTTAATTCTGCATTGCTATCGCCACAGTTGTTTAAAGTTACTACTCCGTTTGTGATTCCCACGAGTAACTAACGTGCTAAAATAAAATGTAGCAGTCTCTTTTGCTTTCCCGTACTCACTTAGATTGTATTTAACAAGCTTCAGCTGAAAAATACAAACTAATGATATATTTCAATTTACAAAGCACATTTTTCATTTAAGTCATGGAGCTTTTCTGTTTCTAACTGCAGAATTTCCTTTGTGTTTAAAGTATTCCCATGGGGGGTGGGAATCCGTCCTCCAGATTCACAGAAGCCCATCACAGAATACGCATTTTGCATCTTTGGAATTTTAATGAGTTTTGTAAATTACTTCAAATCCAGTGCATTAAATTCACTCCTGTCCCTTCTAATATGATCTTCTGTAGATAATGCTTCACAAGCCTCAGTGGGAAAAAAATAATCCTCTTGAATGTTGAGAAGTGCTAACATGATTAGGGAGGATACATTTAACTGAACACCAATAATATTTAAGAATGATGCCAGTGTATCCACTTCTCACCAATGAGATTATTTCGTTTGTTTGGGGTTTTTTTTTTATAAATAGTTGAGAATTCATTTTCATACTGCTGCTTTTGGAGCTGTGATTTCCCACTGCAGCAACTATTATTGGCAAAGGTTGGTCCTGCTGTGTTTCATCATAGCCGATATACGCTGTAGGTGCCTCATACTTGAAATAGTAGGAGTTTTATGTGGCTTCTTCTGGTAGGTAAAACTAGCATATGAAGTAGATGTAAGCTTTTCACTCTTCCAGCGTATTCACAGTGACTCACAGAAACTAATGCACAAGTCATTGTTGGAAAAGCGTCTGCCAGCATCAACACCATGGTTCTAAGGGGAATTTGTTGCCACATAAATAGTTTTGTGGACTCTCAAAGTTTGATTGGTAATTGGTACCTCTCATGTGTAATAGTTTCTTTATGCTACCATTCAGCTATATTCCTTAGTGACTTTAATTGATTTTAATCAAAATGTGGGGCCAAGATGCTATATCATTCTTTGTTGGCATTTTGTCAAAGACATTTTGTAAAGCTGACTTACTGTAGTAAAATTTTGGTCCATTTGTAATGAAGGCCTGAAGCCAGTACTTTATGAGTATATGGTATCTCAAAACCTAATCTAAACTAGTATACTAGACTAAGTTGTGGACAATAAAGAATCTACGGTGCTTGGAACCATGTCATTAAGTTATTCATCTGGTGGAAAATATTCCTTTGAGTCAGTTCTGACCCGATGTCCCCAAAGAAGTTAAGCAGCACTGTTTCTGGAACTGTCCTCCTTCGACCCATTCATGTCCTGTTAAACTTTTCTTATTAAAAAATTGAAGTTACCAGAAGGAAGGATGTTCCAAGTCTTGACACTGAGAAATAAAAATTCCATTCATTCATTATAAATAATTGCATTATCCTAGCAACTTCTATTAAATACAATTTTTTTTTTCACTTTATCCTAAACATATCATTATGTTAAAATTCTTGGGCTTGGTAGAACTACTGCTACGTTTCACGTTTCAGATGGTTGCCTTTAAGTGAGGGATTTTATTCCTATATGAAAGGAAATGACATTAAGAACATAATTATATGGTCCACATTTTTATTTACAGTTCAGTTTTTGTTTTTCTCTTATCTTTACAAAAGGAAAGAATGGAGTAGAAACATGAACTTGCTGAAAATCGTCATTTTCTAGTGGTGTGCTGGGCTAGTGGTTGGAAGGCAGCAGTGCGAAAAAGTAAAAAGACAACCAAAGAGAGCAACCAGATATTAGTAGTAGGCAACAGTGTTTGTTCCGTTAATAGCTTAAGCAGTATTATAAATGTTTCTTATGGCTTCAAATCCAGCTCTAAAATGTGCAGAATCTCATATTATGGAGAGCTGCTTATTTTCAATAGGTCCTACAATTGTTCTGAAAAAATATTTCTTCCAACAGAAGAGGACCGATCCAATTAAAATAATTTTCTTAACCCTAGGAACAGGAGGAGGTGGCATTTTACGCCCTACCATCGGTGGCTCTTTCCAGCCATGTCTGACACGTCCTGGCTTCGTCCAGGCTGCTGGAGGTCCTGCCTATTTCTGCTGGCCTCCAGGCACCATTTTTTTGCCACACGATCAACCTGTTCCTCTTTCATCAGAGGTTTCTAGCAGCATTTGCATTGTGACCTGGGCATCAACAGCAGCCTGTAGGACCTGGGCAGATGTATTTCCATGAGATACTCTCTCAGAGGACATCTGCTATGGGAGCTTGTCTCATCCCATGACTAACATGGTGTTGCACCTATGACTGCGTCGGCTGTGAGTTACAGAGAGAGGCACTTCTGAAAGATCTTTATGGTCATAGAAGCGCCTTTGTAGTGAAGAAAGGTTGTCTTCCCTCTCCCTGTGTACCAACTTCAGCCAAAGCACAAACCATCTAGGGATTCCTGCTTACTAATCTTCTTCCAAGAAATCAGGAATGTCTTTTCTGCTCAGCTGCTCGAAGCAGAGGAAGGAAAAAGGTGATAATGTCGCTTCACTGTATCAGTCACAACCTGCTGTATCAGCTAAATAGTCATGGCTTGGTTCCAAGGAGCATAATTTACATTGCACATAATTCACGTTTCACTCTCAGCGAAGTTAATGTTAAGCTTTTTTTACAAAAGGACACCAAACCGCATGTATGTAGCTTTCAAATTCCATTTTAAAATTGCATATATGCTTGCTAAATTTTGAAAGTATTAAACACACATTTTGATTTGTTACACAAACAATATTGTAAGTGGGATAAACTTTACTCTAAATTACAAATAGCTATTTTATAAACATCCTGTGTACTTCTTTGTTCAGATTCCACTTGCGTTCTTACTTCTGTATCATCTCTGAGAAATTACTCAACTTATTTAGTTTCTGTAAAGAAATTACTCTGCCATGTTTTGCATTTAGTCATTCTAAATTACTCTATTACTTCAG